TTTTTTGGCGTTTCCACGTAATATCCATCGGCTGCTTCCAGACGGGATAAAGTGTTCGTATTCAATACATTCTTCTATCAAAAGTTGACAGAAAAGCAGCCATCGATCTCAATTCTCAACAAGAATCATCGAAGCTCTGTAGGACGATTTGAATGGGTAAGGAGACCGCGTGTTTTTGTCCACTCTAAATTGTTTATTTTTAGATCAAAAGAAATTTTGCAAAGGTAAAGTCGTGGACAAAGAAAGTCGACATATTCAATATGGACTATATTGTTCTACCTATAAACGATGAAATGCACTGGTTCGACGCATTTTTTCTTTTTGTCCTATTTCGTGAAATTTCCCTATCGTGCTTATCTCAGGTATCTCGTAATTATCGTGAAACCTGCCTTGGCCGTTGTACCGCAACGGACGGAGGACGTTGACCAGGCCCGAAAGCGAGGCTCGTTTCGGGAAAACCCAGACACTTTCATTGTTGTGCTGGACTCACTTCCCGATCCTAATGATGTCAAAAGGTAGAGCAGTCAAAATAGTCGGCATTATTTTTCATTTTTCAGCTCATTTTTATTCTCTAGGAAATGTGTCTTGGATATCTTGAGAGATTACCTGGAATGTGAGCTTGCCGATAAACGTGGCTCGCAAGAGGAACTTTATCTGGATCGCACGCGCATTGGCGCATTGTATCCTGTGGGAGTACCACACCAAGAAAATTATGTGGATTGCGGTCTTTTCTTGCTTCAATTTGCTGAAGCCTTTTTGACTAAACCGCCCGATGAGAAAGTCAGAATTCTTCTCTATATCATGCAGCTTATGCTTACGTCATTCTTGTCTAGATGTTGCGGCAAGGAGCGCGATGGAAAGAGTGGTATCCATGGTTTGATCACTCAATGAAGTTCATGCGAGAGAAAATTAGTGGACGATTGAGGAGTCTTGTCAGTGCGAAGGTAGAGCTACTCTAACTTTCTTGAAAACTCCTTGCATTAAATCCTCTTCTTTCAGGCATGGCAACAGTTAGAAACTTATGAACATCAGCAAGGACGAGGTGTTAGCATAGAAACTACAGCTTTGATGATTGATCGTAGGTTTTTTCCTTTGGTGGTTGTTTCAGTATATTGGAATTTTTTTCACCAGGTTTGTGTACTTACTTCAATCTCATTATGTAACTTGTGTACTTCGAGATCATCGTTGTTCAGAAAATTGAATTTCATTGAGTGATTAATTATCTGATGCCAAGTTTCAATACGTTAATATCAATATATTGGAAAAGTTCCATTTTTTACGCAGTCATGCAACGGCTCTTATTTTAAGCGGTGTATCAAGAATGTTGTGCTTTTTCATCCACTCAGCAGCCAATTTTATCACTACTTTTCCAATCGGTAGAGCATCGGCAGCGCACTTCGGTGTTTGCGACAATGCAAAATGCTCATGCGTGGTTGATTTGCCGTCGGGGCACGGACATTTTACATTATTTGAGAATTTCTTTTCTTCGGTTTCCCACTAGCCCCTACTATCCCCTTAAACTTCCATATTTCAGCTCACCTTACCAGACTGCAAATTTTGGGAAATTGATATTACCAAAGTGTAGAATATATACACTTTTATCTCCTGTATTTTACAGGTGCACGAAGGCCTCGGCGACACAGCGAAACACGGCTGCATGAACCACACCCGAAGGCACGGAAGCGAACCCATTCGGAACCACCAAACATCAAAAAATGCGCTCCACCCGCACCGCGTATGGTCCCGTAACCATATTTTTTGTTTTGGTAAAGTCGTATCGAACAATAGGTCAGCATTTCTTTTGAGAATGCGTTGAGTCAGATTGAGGCGTTTTACCTCGCGTGTTATGCACGTGTAAATGTTTGCATATATCGTTACTTGTTGTCATGAACTAGTATTTATATGTATAGTAACGTACAATTTGTAGTAGGGATGTATAATCCATGAAAAGGAGGGCTGCAATCAAAATCGTAGCAATTTCTGGAGAGTGGATAATATGTGATCAAAACTGGAGGAAGACATGATCTCACCGTTGAAGTGTGGTGTCTTTAGAGTCTTTTCTAGCTACATTCCTTTATGGATTAAACATCCTGCTTGAGCCTGTCATAACAGCACAGTAGCACTTCCTTACAT